TTGGCACATTTGAAGTTGTCCTAGAGGCTCCTTACACTATCTTCATATTTTTGGATTATTTTTTCTCTTCTGCTTGGGTGTGTTTTGTTTTCTCATATTCCAAATCGCTTACTTTATTCTTGGCATTCTCTACTGTTGATTCCCTGTAAATTACTCTATTTCAGTTATTGTATGCTTCATTTCTGAAAGCTACTTTTTTATGCTGTTGATGTTCTCACTGATTTCCTTGGAATTCTCAGTAAGTTCCTGGAAGTTCTCATTAATTCCTTGAGTATCCTTTTAACCATTGTTTTGAACTCTGTATTGGTAGTTTTCTTGCTTCCACTTCATTTAGTTCTTTTTCTGGAGATTTCTCCTGTTCTTTCACTTGTGATGTGTTTGTCTCTGCATTTTGGCTGCCTCCCTGTGCTTTCTTTTATTCATTAGGCAGAGCTGCTATATCTCCTGGACTTAGTAGAGTGGCCTTGTTAGCAGGTGTCCTGTAGGGCCCTGTGGCTCAGCCTCCCCAGTCACCTGAGCTGGGCACTTCAGGTGCACCCCCGTGTGAGCTGTGTGTACTTTCCTATTTTATTGAGCCTTGATTTATGTTGGCGATACTGTGAGGGATTAACCCTCAGGTCCATCGGTTGGGAAAATTAGCTTCGACTGCAGCTGAGGAGCTGCATTGCAGGAGCCAACCCTACAGGGCGGGACTTGCTTCTGTGGGGCTCTGGTGCTCACTGAGTTCTCCCCTTGAGTGTGTCACTCGTGTAGGTGGTAAGGTTATAATCCGGCATGGTAAAAGTTGACAACCAGGTACACTGGCTCTGGGCTTCTCAGGAGTTTCAAAGTCAGCCTCTAACTGCCCTGCCTGGGGCCACCCAGCATGAGCTCCAAAGCAATCTGCAGATGGCTGCTACTTGTGTGGAGTTTGGAGGTGCCCAGGAGAGGCCACACTGAACCAGGGCAGGTTGCCTTTGCCAGGCCTAGGTTCACTTATTGAGAGGTACAGGGCACGCTGATGCCAGCTGATGCTTACTTGAGAGATGTTAAGAAAGTCCAAAGCATGAGGCAAGAGAGGCCAGTTGTATGGAAAAGTCACTGGAAATGGCTTGAATGAGCCTATAAGTAGGGAAGGGCTGGGTCTCAGGGAATCACCAAGAAGGGGGGAAAGTTGTGAGCCAGGTTAATGGAGATTCAGATATGGGGCATCCTGTCAACTCTGTGGCATGGAGGGCTCAGCAAAGGAACACTGGCCTCTGCCAGCACTTCTCTCTGGAAGAAAGCTGCTCCTCCAGCTCTTGACCTGAATCCAGACAAGTTAGTTCCTCCCCAAATGTCTCAGGTTCCTTTTAAGCTGCTGCCACAGCGCTGGAGCTCAGAGGGAGTAAGTCCGGGTAAGTCTGTGCATAGGCCCTTAAAGAGGAACTGCCTGGGACTCCTGCAACCTCCGTGTTACTCAGCCACACTCCCCACTGGTTTTTACAGCCAGAAGTTGTGGCAACTTCTCTTCCCAGCACTGAATCAAACAGAAGGTTGACCCTCTCCCAAGAGAATTCTCCTGCCTGATGGCCTTTGAACTGGGTCAGCCTTTTGTTTGATTCAGGTCTTCGACAGCTGGATGAGGCTCACCCACATTACAGAGGGCAGTCTGCTTTCCCCAGTCTACCAATTTAAATGTTGCCTTTAATCCCAGAACATCTTTACAGGACAACTCAGAATAATAGTTGACCAAATATCTGAGCACCCTGTGGCCCAGTCAAGTTGACACATAAAATTAACCATTACAGGCTCTGATGTGGGAGAAATCCAATTCACAGCATCAGTCATAGCTCATCATTTTAGAGAACACTAAAGGTCCATCGGGAAAATTTGTAATGCGAGCAGGTACCTCTAAGTAGAGTGTTTTAGGTGAACCATCCACCTCCGGAACCATCTATTGCGCTCTCTGGCCCCTTGTCTACATTCCAGCAAATAGACTTCTGGTGCCCATTAAGGAGGCATGCTGGCCCGCAGGGAAATTGGTACTGCTGTCCATGAATTTGAGACAAGAATCCTGGCCCAGATGGAATGTGTGCACCTTCAGTACCCACTGCCTGACATTCCCCCTGGCCTTCAAGTACGTTTTATCTCGCTCTGGAGTAGGCAATTAATCCCTCTGATAGGGCGGTCTGCCAGTTGCTTACATCACCTTCCCCGGCTCTTGGGTTGGCTTCCTGGCGGGGAAGCCGGCTCTAGTCACCAAAGTAGCCCAATTGGTATCGCTGTCCGTGGTGCTGACCAAACCCGAAAACTTCTGCATTGGCGTGTTCACTGTCCTTGGTGCCAATGGTTCTTTTTTTTTGTGTACTCAAGAAGATACTGCAGACTGAAAGAACGGATTTTTGAAATATGGACCAGAATTCAAGGATAAATATGAGATTCTTGGCTTCTGCTGAGGCACATTATAGGATTTAGGGCTCTGACCCACTCACTCTGAAGAATCAACAGTTTCTTGCTGCCCCATGCTCCCAGAACAGGTTCTGGGATTCCGCAGTTTATGGAGCAGAGCTAAGAGAGCAACCAGGGCTGGAGCCACTACACCTTAGCAATCTATGGTTGAAAGTTTCCACTTTCTGACTTCCTATATCTAGTCTGTCAGAAAGTCCTGTGGATTCTATCTTCTAAATATCCATTGCTTTTTTTTTTTTTCAGAGAGAAAGGAGGAGAGGGAGGGGGGAAGAGAGAGAGAAACATTGACGTGAGAGAGATACAACACATTGAACCAGGAATCAAACCTGTGACCCTTTGGTGCCCAGGCTAACACTCTAACCATTGAGCCACACTAGTGAGGACAATTCTATCTTCTAAATATCTCTTGTATTAGTCTACTCATCTCAGCTCCTTCACCCCTTCCATGACAACAGTGTTCATCACTACCCCTGCTCCACTAGTCCTAACTACCATCACTGGTCATTGCTGGGATTGTCCCTTTAGGATAAAATTTTAGCAGTTAACTAAGTCAAAGTTTAGGTTCATTGTTTAAGTGTTTTGTTCAAGTATGTGTACCAATTTGGACTCCCACCAACCTTGTATAAGAGTGCCAGAACCGCCTTAGCCGTTTTGTCTCAGTGGATAGAACATTGGCCTGCAGAGTGAAGGGTCCCAGGTTTGATTCTGGCCAAGGGCACATGCCTGGGTTGCAGGCTTGATCCCCAGTAGTGGGCATGCAGGAGGCAGCTGATCAATGATTATCATCATTGATGTGTCTATACCTCTCCCTTCCTCTCTAAAATCAATAAAAATACATTTAAAAAAGAGTGCCAGAACCATTCTCAAGTGGTTAAAGTTCTACAGCAATACATTGATTTAAAACAAAACAGCACTTATGTATATGTAAACTATACCTTAATAAAAAGATTGACCAAAAGAGCTTGGCCAGTGTGGCCCAGTGGTTGAGCATCGACCCATGAACCAAGAGGTCACAGTTGGATTCCTGGTCAGGGCACATACGTGGGTTGGGGCTGGATCCCTAGTAGGGGGCGTGCAGAAGGCAGCTGATCGATGATTATCTCTCATCATTGATTTTTTTTTAATTCTCTCCCAAGGATATTTTTCCATTGATTTTTAGAGAGAGTGAAAGGGAGGGGGAGAGACAGAAACATCAATTTGAGAGAAAGACATAATTGGCTGCCTCCTGCATGCATCCTGACTGGAACGGGGAATTGAACCCGGGACCCTCCGTTCCGAGGGCCGACGCTCTAGCCACTGAACAACCAGCCAGGGCTCATTATTAATGCTACTATATCTCTCTCTGAAATCAATAACACATTTAAAAAAAAAAAGATTGACCAAAAGAAATGCATTTAGCCCGCCGGGGTGCCCCAGTGGTTGAGCGTTGACCTGTAAACCAGGTCACCGCTGGATTCCGAGTTGCGGGCTCGATCTGGACTTGATCCCCATTAGGGGGCGTTCAGGAGGCAGCCGATCAATGATTCTTTCTCATCATTGATGTTTCTATATCTCCCTCTTCCTCTCCCTTCCTCTCTGAAATCAATAAAAATATTTTTTTTTAAAAAAAAGAAACCCTTTGAGGCAGGTTCTGCTTTACAGATGGGATGATGAGAGCGCAAGAAACTTGCTCAAGTTCAAACAAGAACCGCAGAGAGGGTCGATGAGCTTCCCGAGACCACACAGCACGCGAGCGGCCCAGCCAGACGAAGCCCATGCTTCTCTCCCCCGGTCCTGCCCAGACGCCCGCTTCTGCAGCCCAGGAGAGGTGGGAGGGGTCCCTGAGGAAGCAGATGGGTGGGGGAGGGGAGAGACAGCAGGCGGCAGGCCACGTCTGCAGCCAGGGGGGCTTCCGGGGGCTCCCGCATCGCCCCTGCGGCGGATGCGATGA